ACACACACACACACACACACACACACACAAAGTTTTTTATTAATCAACTGATTCATCTCATCCATCAGTGATTATTGATATTTCTGATATTCTACACTGCAGAATCCTTTCACAATAAAAGCCCTGTTCCTGTTAGGTCACCCAAAGACTAGAGCGTTTGTGACTCATGGTGGCACTAACGGTTTGTATGAAGCTGTGTATCACGCCGTGCCAGTGGTCGGAATCCCACTGTTCGCAGATCAGCCAGATAACCTTGCCCGCCTCAGTCGCCGTGGAGCCGCTGTCGTCCTCGACTTCAACAGTCTGACGTCCGACATGCTGAGGCAGGCGCTGCATGATGTCATCAACCAGCCAGGGTGAGGGTGATGTCACGAGCAGCTAGAGGTTACTTTTTTTTATCCTGTTTCATACCTTTCAGCTAATTATTTCCCTTTCACATTAAAATCCCAGACTTCCTGCCAAAACACATACTCCAACCTTTTAATCCATTTTTTTTGGATTTCCTGTCTTTTATAAAAAAAACACCACAGTGATCTTGTTTTTTTCCCATGATGCTCAGCTACAAGTCCAGCATGCAGCATCTGTCGGATGTGCATCATGATCAGCCGGTGGCGCCGCTGAGCACTGCCGCATTCTGGGTGGAGTTTGTGATGCGACACGGAGGAGCGCGACACCTGCGGCTGGCATCACATGACCTGAACTGGGTCCAGTACCACAGCCTGGACATTGCTGCTGCCCTGCTGGTTGTGATGATGATCACCGGTGCCCTCTGCTGGGCGGGCATCCGCTGTTTCCTGATTCGCTGCAGACGAGGACGACGAGAAAAGAACGACTGAAGATTTAACTTCCTCGTAAATTTTCATGTTATTTGTTTGAATTTATCTGTAAAATAAGACATCTGATCACATGACAAAGACAAAAACTCAAAGTCGATTTCAGGTTTTTATTTTATACAAAATCAAGCATAGGCTCCGCCCCCTCCGTACACAAACAGGAAATAAAGTTTTAATCTTCAAATGTTACAATAGAGACAAAAACTGATCAATTCAACCGGCTGCTGATCAATAAACATCAATCACAAGCAGCGGAGTTTCTCCAGTTGGAGGCGATTACAAGATGAAAATGTAAACTTAAAAAAAAAGTTGTGTTGTTTAAATAAACCCTGAAAACAAAATAAATAAAAAAAACTAAACAGTTGGTTTAACGAAAGAAAAATAGAGAAACAAAAAAAACTTACAGGAAGTACTGTCCAACCTTTCACAATAAAACAAGTAGTGACAAGAGAATGATTAAAAAACATTGATGACCAGCCAGAGGGCCTCCAGCCTCATGTTGAAACCTTGCAACTAAAATACTGACGCTTTCTCTTTGTGTTTTAACCGTGTGAAGCTGGAACACGTATGACGCATGTGTTTGTCACTCGATCATGAAATCAAGTTCCAACCAAAATCAGATTTTAATTTTTACATTTTTGAAGTTTATTCACGTAAAAAGTGATTTCATCCCATCGCTTCTTTTTTGTTCAAGATTTAACAGAGACAGGAAACCAGCCAAGACATCTGTAGACTGTCAGAATAAACCTCCACTCAGGCATGATGTGACATCATCAGATCACCTGCGGTACCGCCCTCTCTCTTTGTCCCTCTCTCTCTCTCTTTCTCTTTCCCTTGGTCGCTCTCTTTCTCTCTCACGTCGAGGTCCGCCACGCTCTCGCTCACGCTGCCGCTCTCGCTCCCGCCGGCTGCTCACCACCGCCTGTGTCCGCCGCAGGAAGTCGTCCACACGCATGTCATAGTCATGCTGCAAGAGAGATTGAAAATAAAAAAGACCTGATCAGTTTGATTCATTAGTAAAGCTGAATAATTCATCAAATATCAATACTGACTTCAAACCTAAAACTGAAAGCTGACCACAAGGGGGCGATCTGAGCTATCGCCCCAAGTTACAACAGGAAGCAGATGGGTTTAACAAAGGCGAAGAGGTTGTCCAAGGAGACGGATCATCATCTGTTGTCAGGAAGTGAATCTACGCAAACAAGAACCGTCTGATGGCGGCACGAAGGCCAAGATCATCGTCCAATAGAACTCACCGGGCTGGAGGCGAAGGCACGGTGCTGCGGCGCCCTCTGCTTATCTCTGAAGCGGGGGGGTGGAGCCTCGTGTGGCGGCAGAGGTGGGTGATGGTGGTGATAGGCCTGGTGAGGGGGCGGAGGGGGGTGGCCGTGGTGGTAGTAGGGGGGATGATGGGGCGGTGGTTGCTCTACACCTGGGTACGCCGCCTGACAACACCAACAGGAAATCATTGGTCTCAGTGGTCAATGCTCCATTAATCAACAAACAGGATCAATAACAGAGTCGTACCAGAGTTTGCCACGGAGCAGGAGGTCCGACGCTGTGGTGATAATCTCTCATGTAGTCGTATGACTGAAACAGGAAACACAGGTGAGCCCATCCGACACTAACATGCTAACACCTCACGGTGACTACGGGACAAGAACCAAGTTCAACTGGACACAATGATGCAAAGCTAACAAGCTAAAATCTCACCCCATTGAGAAAAACGTCTCGCCTTACGCTGGAGAAACGTCTGAAAACAGAACAAAGGGTTTTTAGAAATACACTTAAAATAATTGTATTACTTAAAAAATTGTTTTAATTTTAATGTTGAAGCGGACAGAATAAATAAAAAACGTCTTTCCGTTAGTTTCCTTCTCCCTGAACGATTCAAACAGATTGTTAATGTTGTTAAATCAAACTTCAGTTTTTTATTTTCGTCTTTGCTCAGCTGACAAATGCCGCTGTGGCTCCGCCCACGTTGTGATGTGGTCTCACCTGTCCACCTGCTGATTACGAAGGTCCTGGAGGAACCCTGAAAATAAAATTATTTTAATTTGAAACCGTTTCTGATGAACAAACCAAACTGTTACGCCAAGATATAAGCATTATTACAAAGACTATAAAAAATATAAAAATCAACCGATTAAATGTATTTTGAAAGTAAACAAAAAAATACTGGAACCAATCGTCAACAAAAAAAAAAAGACGTTTTCGGTGAAGTAAGTTTCATTAAAAACACGAAGTGACTGAGATTTTCAAATAAACGACCTGCTCGCTGGTTGAAGTCAGGTGGACCGTCAGCTCGTGGCCTCTTCCTGCCGTGGAGGTCGTACTCTTCAGGTCGACGCCTACGTGAACAAGTTGACAAGTAAGACACACACACGCACACAAATACACACTCACACACAACACACATCAGTGCACACTAAAAAACTCACTCAGGTCAATTCAGCAACTGAAAAAAGCTCCAAATGCTGATTTACTGATATTTTATAGACATGCGATCGTCCAAAGAACCAATCAGACGACACAACATCCCCCGCCCACTCTCACCTTAGGGTCGTACGAGGCAACGCCCTCTCACGTCTTTACTTAATTTAATAAATGACGTTGTTTCACTGCTCGATGGACAAATACAATATTTAAATGAATTTTGTTTTCACACACACAATAAAAAAACAAAGAAGAAGAAGCGTGTGAAGGAACAACATACCGCCTCTGTTGTTTACGTTGTTTGTCAACAACACTGAGATTATAAACACAGTTCCTCATCAGTCCATTAAAGGCTTTTTTATACCCTCTTATTCTGAAAGGGTGGAGGGAGGTGATGATGATGATGATGATGGTGCAGTCCTGTCAAACAATATGTAAAGCCCCACCCACCTCCATCCCAGCCCTGCCCCCTCCAGACCAGCAACAGTCCTTCCTGTCGCTCCGTCCGTCGCCTCCAGCCCCAACACACACACTTTATATTCAGTTCATTAGAGCGACACACACACACGCACACATGTGCACGTTAACACTCTCAGTCCTGAGTGTACAGGGGGCGGAGGGTGTCACATAACTGTCCTTTCATTGGGGGAGGGGTGGGTCCATAAGGATTCTTTTAAGAAGTCCATCTTTACCTTATGAGCCAGAAGCCCCGCCCCCAAATAAATTATACCCTCTCATTGGATGCAGTCCAGAGGCCTCGCCCCCAAACACATCACACCCTCTCATTGGATTCAGTCCAGAGGCCACGCCCCTCTCACACCCCACCCGCACCACCTCCTCAAAGACCAGAAAGAGTTCTACCCCCCCTCTTCTGTCAGTCCGGCCATTGACGCTCGTCCTTTTTGCTTTTATTTTGAAATGGTCAGCCACAGTCCAGCTAAACTTTAGATTATTAAACTTCCAAAGAACGAAACTCCTGTAAAGAAAAAAAGCTTTGATTCAGCAACAAACTTCAAACTTTCATTGACTGAAAATTATTAATCAAAAGAAAATAAACTCAAACTAAAGAAAAAACGTTATGTCCTGAACGTTTCACTTCCTGCCTGACTTTTTACGACCTCTGATGCAGAGCGAGGCATCACTCCGGTGGAAAGCTCCTGACTGGACAAACCACAACAACCACCAATGAACCAGCAACGCTCGCCACGGGATCGCTAGCCACGGGATCGCTAGCCACCGGCTAAAAGCAGCAGCCTTCTCCGTTGTCCAGCAGCAGGTGGCGCCGTGGCCGCAGCAGGAGAGGAAGAAGAACAGGAAGCGGGAGAAGGAGCTTGGTGTTTGGCTAACCTTCCCGGTTCACGTTGTGGTGGCCGGCCTCGAGGCCGTGGCTCCGAAGGCGTCCTACGTTTGTGACGAACGCGGCGAGCTACCTGGTGGACGTCCACACTCTCATCCAATGGGAACAGGGCACAGAGCTGAGCGCCGATGTCTGGTTGGATCTCCTGAAAGAGATTTAACAAGTTCAAAACAAACGTTATCAATGTCTCACAGAACCTGACAATCAAATGGCGAAGAATCAAATGGCGAGCTAACCTGTCCATCCCGTCCAATCTTCACAGGCTTGTGTTCGTTCCAGGGGTTCGACAGATGAGACGTCTTCGTGAATGGAAGTTCTCTCCTGAAGACGAACAGAGGAGGAGGCTTGTTATGTTGCGTTGTTATTGTTGTTGTTTTTGTGATGTCATTATTGTTGTAGTTTACCTGCAGAGCCAGTCGATCTTGAAGACTCCGCCCAGCATCTTGGCGTTCATACCGGCAGGAAGAACCCAGTGGATCGGAGATCCGCCATGATGAGACTCTGACGCCAAACGAGCGAAACCTACAGATGAGACGAAGACAAGTTTTAACACAGTGAAGGAAAAAAAAAAAGATAAAATCAATTTGAATTAAATTAATTATCAATAAAGTTAATGATTATTTTTAACCTTGGAATTTTCCACTTTCCCTCACGGAGAAGACGAGGACGACGCTGCGAGCTGAGCGGAACGCTGCATTCAACTTCTTCTCATTCACCGGCAGCGTCGACCACACGCCCTAAACACGATGACATCGTTATTAACATGTTACATCACAAACCCTGAACACAATGACATCATAATCAACGCGTGACATCATTGCATCGCTGTACCTTAGCTTTTGCCAACGACACGTTTTCATGGTTGTTGCTCTTGATGAGGAAGAAGCGAGCTTCTCGCAGGATGTAGCGTAGTTTACTGGTCGGATCTGAAACCACACAGGAAGAGGAAGTAATCTGATTACTTTAAACTGATTATAGTAAGATCGTTACTTCGTGTGGCTCAGAACGATGACATGTTAAACATTGTTCACAGAGAAATAAAGATGGCTGCCTTACTCTCCATCCCTTTGCGAACAGCTCGGACCGATGACGACAACTTCTCCTGCTTTTTCTCCGAACCTTTCACAATAAAAGCAAAGGAACAAACTGAATGACTCATTCATTAAAAACAATAAAAGAAACATGTCATCCTTGTTCTTTGTTACAACTTAAATTACGACGTTCCACCACATGAAAAAATGATTATTGATCCTTTATTGATGATAAAGATCATAGATGATGGATCGTGGAAAACAAACAGGCATCATTCATTGTAGTCATAGTTACCTGAGGCATCTGAGGCGGAGCCTGAACGAGCCGACTCGCCATCGTCAGAGAAACTAACAGAGGAGGCGGAGCGTGAGTCACCAGCTTCGCTCCGAGTATCATAGTCGTTACCCTCGCCACCGCCACGTCGCTCATACTCCTCCTCTTCTTCCTCGTCGTCCTTCTCTCCTTCTTCCTCCTCATCCTCTTCCTCCA